GGCCGCGCCGAGAGCCCCGCGTCCTGCCCCGACATCTACAGGTACACCAAGGGAGACCTGTTCACCTCCGAGATCTACAAGGTAGAAATACAAAACCTGCCTAAATACATCGGGTTTAACGACGTGAAAAAGTTTCTCGCCAAGTACGGGCTCAACCCTCACAAGATCAAACTCTTCGGGAAGCAGACGTTCGCCTTCGTGACTTTTAAGAGCGAGGAGGAGCGGGACAAGGCGCTGGGCGCCCTGCAGGGCCTGCAGTGGAAGGGCCGGCACCTGAGCGTGCGCCTGGCCAAGCCCAAGGCCGACCCGATTGCCAAGAAGAGGAAGAAGAAGCAAAGCACGAGGCAGGGAGAGGCGAAGCGGCCGGTTCCCGCCAGCGCTGAGGAGCCCCCGAGCAAGCTGATCGCCGACGTGGTGACCCCCCTGTGGAACGTGCCCTACGAGGAGCAGCTGGCCAGGAAGAAGCAGGACTGCGAGGAGGTGCTGCAGAAGCTGGCAAAGTAATTCCCCTTTGTAAAGCTACTGGGGTGTTTACAAGACTTGGCCTTAGAACGGGATGTAGCTAAATTGGCACCAATTACTTTCTCTAAAATTAAGTTAGAGGTAGGTCAAAAACTGAATTCCCCTGACAAAATAAATAAAAGATAACCTGCAGGACCTGAAAACTGTCCCAATTGACAAAACCGATTATTGCTGTTCTTGGTCAGCCTTAAGATTGCTGAATGAAGGGGCTTTGTTTTCAGGTCAGCTGTCCAGAGGCCTAAGCAGAAGGACGTTTGTGCCCTTAAACAAAAAAGTTTGCACTGTCAAATGATGTAAGAGGTAACAATTCAATCTGCAGAGATGGTTAATTACTATTAGGATTTTCTCTTTAAAAACCTCTTCAAATTTTTATGCCCAGTCTTTGTAGATCAAAGTATCCCTTCTGTGTCTTGCCTTACTGATGTAGATACAACTGGAATTATTTTCATGCATAGGTACATTGATACATCTGGTACAAACCTTTATAATTACATTTAACTCTTTAATTTTTCAGGTTATAGCTCTTAAAAAGTCAGAGGGGGTTTGCCTGTTAAAAAATTCTTCTGGAATAGTCTTCATGTGATGCTTTTTTATGCCCTATACAAACAAAAAAAGTATTGTGCAGCTGTTAACCTAATTTTTTCTAAATGTGTGCTTTACAATTTTTATTTCTGATTTGGGCAGGGAAATAGGAAATAAGAACAGAGCTTTATTTCCTTGGCTGGTCCTTCAGAAGCAGAAGTATAATAAATTGTGTTGCCCAGTAGAGGGAGTGAAAGCATCACCATTGCAGGTAATGTAATCCTGGGTAAAGTATGGTAAAGTTAATGAGTTTAGGGTTCAAGTTGATCTTGTAATGAATGGTGAATTTTACATATTGTTCCCTTGTGTGGAAATACTTAGAGGATGCAGAGTAACATTTAGAATTAAGTAGATATGGTACTTGAAAATTAAAAGCTTGTGTTGTAGGCCAATACATTCTTCAACAGAGGCAGTACTTTGATTTTTAACTAATAAGGCTTATTAATACTTTTTTGTTATTGCTGTTAGTCCTCATAAATCAAACTCCATTAATATTTTCCATATGAACTAAATGTCTTTTGTCCACTTGCAAATACATTTAACCTTATGAGGGTTGTTTCAGGAGAAACTTGGTGTGTACAAGTAAGTGCTGTGTGAGCATCTTACCCCATTTATTTTAAATCTAGACTGAATATCGCAACAAGTGTGAGTTCTTGGTCGGGATTGGTGTAAATCAAGAAGACAAAACTGTGGGTTGTCGTCTTGGCAAATACAAGGGTGGAACATGTGCTGTGGTGGAGCCATT